ACCAAAAAAAAAAAAAAAAAAAAATCCCTTTCCAAAAAGCTCAAAGCGTAATGAAAATTTTGCAATTGCTCGAACTGTTAAAGATACGGTCACAAAACATGTCATTAACGTATGTGTAGTACACGGACGTAGTACACGGACGTAGTACAACACTGGTAGTAAATGTACGTTGTACAACACGGGACAAGAGAAGAGCAGCTGGGAGAAAAAGGGCGGCAAGATAAGCGTTTGGTGTAAGATTAACAATTATTTATTATTAATTAGTGTATTTATTTATGTGTAACTAGCGAAGTTACTACATTGGCGACGAGGATAAAACTAACATGAATGCGGAACAGTTTAATTTGTTGTTGCAAGCTGTGCAAAAATCAAATAACGCTTTGCTTGAGGAGCTTCGTTTGTCGCGGACACTACAACAAATTGATACGCCTTCTTCAACTACAGAAGCAGTTTCGTCAACATTTAGGAATCTATCTGACTCAATGCTAGAGTTTTGCAATGATCCTGAAAATAAAGTCACATTTGAATCATGGTACAAGCGTTATAAATCAGTTTTCGCTATAGAAGCAGCACATCTCACTGAGCCAATTACGGTTCGATTGCTCACTAGCAAATTAAAAAATTTGGATTTCGAGCAATATGCAAACTCAATCTTACCAAAGGAACCCCATGAGCTTACACTCATGCAAACGGTTGCCAAACTCTCGTCTATTTTCGGATATCGCCAATCAAAATTTTCTCAGCGCCAAAAATGTTTTACAATTTCAAAACAGGATTATGAAGACTTTGCTCAGTATGCTGCTCGCGTCAACAAACATTGTGAAAAATTTGACATCGTTAATTGCACTCCCGATGAGTTTAAAGTACAAATATTTGTCAATGGCTTGAAGAGTTCACATGATTCGTTAATACTCGAGAAACTCCTTGCAAGACTCGACAATGAATCAACACAAAAACATCCACGCAAAAGGATGCCTTCATGCACTTAACACTTCAAGATTAAGAATAACTTGGCATCATTGCCTAAATTAGTGAAAAAATGACAAGAAAAAAAATTTTAAACAAATTTGTGATTGATAGATACATGTAAATACAAAATGTCCGCAGATAATTGTATGAAAAAGTTTTTTTATATAAATATATATGAATAACATAAAAAAGTTATTGGTGAATATTATATATGAATTTATATAAATGCACACATTTTTTATGTGTTATTCATGATAATGGACAAAAATAGTGAAAGCTCTTTAGAAATCAATAAATTCTTTTATGTAATTTTCAAACTTCTAGCGGCCATGTTATGCAGAGTGTCTCCGGCTCGATAAAATGCACTCTTTCGGTTTTTGCCGAATATGCATGTTATGCAGAGTGTCACATCAGTATTGCCAATTTCGTATTTTTACAATGTTTTGATTCTTTTTGGTTGTGCCTTTTAAAAGAAAACTTAGATATGCTCACTTTCAATTTGACACCAAAAATAACTAAGAGTACTTACGCCTTTCAGAAAGTGTAATAATTTGAGATTTGGCACAACAACCAGGCAGTCACTGATCTAGAGATTTTGACAGTGGCTTTTTAACACCTGGCAAGCAATAATTTTTGACTTCGTTTTTGACTTGTATTATTCTTTTGTGCATAAAATAAAATTTTTACAAATACAAATACAAATAAATACAAATTTTTGTGTGTGTTAAATTAATTGTATTTGCTTTTTCATACAGTAATAATTTTTTTAATAGCGATTTATAAAATAAAGCTTTGTTGCTTACTGCCATTTTTTCTCCAAAACGTATTAGAATTGTAGTAATTTGGTCCTAAAAGGTGCACATTTTGAAATTTATTACTAAACAACAATCTTTTGCCTGGAGCACAAATACGCTGGCTCACATGCCGGAGTTTGGACGGCCATATTGTGTTTTCTCTCATTCTGAAATTTAAAATTTGCATTGAAAACAACAAGAATTGTACTCATGCAATGCCTGAGGCACTCTGCATAACATGGCCCTAGGTAATACTAAATGAACAGTATTTAACACTGTTCTATTTTTCTTGCAATTGTCTTACAACCTTTTGCTTTTATTATATGTTTTTGTTTTATTGATGTATTCCATTTTTTAATGAACAAAAAACAGAAATTATAAATTCCTTAAATAATTTAACTGTCAGTAATCTTCATAAACTTTCTTTAAAAAAAATACTTTTTTAAAGTATTTAAATTTATTAATCAACACTCGCAATAGTTATAGATAATAAACAAACTTCTCTGGCGTCTGACTGAAATTTTCTATTTTCTTCCACTAATCATTCACAATAGATCAGTTTTAAGATTTGGTACCATTGTAATGCGAGTGGCTTATTCGTTAAGCAGTTTCAGAAAGATGGTGGTAATTTTGCGAATCATGTTTTTGTGTTCTATTGGATTCATGTCAAAAGAATATACCTCATTATGATTATAGTTATCGTGTATTTAAGTCAAGAGGGACAATGATACAATAATATCCATTAGGTTCTTTCGACAGATTTAAATATGGCAAAGAACAAGATGTTCGCTTAAAGTAGCTAATTTGTACGCAAAAGGACATTAAAGAAATATCATTAAAGAAATAAGCGATTAGCTGTAAACCTTTATTGGAATTTTCAACGAACATTTTAATCATATGTCAAAAGTTTGGAAACAAAAATTCAAACAAAATTAAAAAATTTAATAATCTTTTAAATTTTGGAAATGAAATATTTTTAAAATATGCAAAATTGTGGAAAATAAATATTTTAAAAACATATATACACATAAATATATATAAAAATTTATGCGGGTACATGAAGAAAGTATAATTGAAAAGGTCTTTAAGTTTTTGAACTTATTTGTTGCTGTCAAGACAATACTTATTAAGGCATAAATAGAGTGAACTGTTATTAATTTTGTTGTAAAAGATAAAGTTTGCTGTATTCTGAACATTGCTCTAAATAAATTATTCATTTTAATTTTTAATTTTAGTTTAATTATTTATTTTTATACAAAATGTAATTTGCTGCAATATGTGTACATATGCAATATTTGCTCTTTGCGAAAACATAACATTTGACTGATTGGAAAAGTGATGGTAATATCTCCTTTAATGCCTATAGTAAGTAACTTGCTGTTTCTTGCTATACTTAAGAGAAAAAAGGAAAAAAGGATAGATTATGTGTAAATTTCCAGCGGTTAAATTAGCAGTCCAAAGAAAGCGGAGAACAATTACGAAAAGCAAAACGTTTTAAGGACGTGTGCGAGTTAGGCTAAGTTGATGCTAAACCAAATAGGAGATTTTTTGGGATTTTTTGCACTGCACACATTTAGCCATTTATCAACACGTATCGACACATCACTATGTTATCGGCACAACTTAGAATTTCTCTCATTTAGAACGCAACTTAGCGTAACTCGCACACGACTTAAATACTTTACAGTCGGAAAATAAAATTGCTCCATCACTTTTTCAGCGTTTTATCGCTAAAATAAATTGTCGCACCTGACGACATGATGAACTATATAGACGATGTACAATTTGGTAGTGTAACAATGAACAAATTGTACGAAGAGTTGGCGCGTATCTTAAACGGTTTATATAGGTATTGCAAATGTTGCCCTTAACCCACAAAAGTGTGAATTTTTGAAAACTACGGTTAAACAAATTAGTGAGTGGACAGGAGCGACATTGAAATAGAAGACCGTGCTCGGCAACGAATGGTCGGTTTAAGAATTACATGATTTTGAAACGGCATCTCTATCGATAAAGTATAAGTTAGTAGCGACAATTGGTTTTTCGAAATATAGCTTCATGATGATTCTATCAAGCCAACAGTCAAAAAATGGCGATCCAGAAGTAAGCAAAGATTTTATTATCCACTATGGCAAACTGTACAGAAATATGAAAGGTAAAAATCTTTTGGTGGTTCCAAAAGGGCTACGGTGGCAAATTGTTTACAGCGCACTCGATAAAACCGGTCATATTGGTTTAGAAAAAACAATTGAACGAATAAGCAAACACATGTGGTTTTCTCGTATATGCAACTTTATAAAATTATATTTCAAATCTTGAATTGATTGAACGTATAATAAGGTTTCAGGAGGTAAAAACGAAGGTGAACTTCACAGTAGCGATATTAAACTAATACCGTTTCGAACTGCACACATCGATCACTTTAATCCCTTTCCAAAAAGCTCAAAGCGTAATGAAAATTTTGCAATTGCTCGAACTGTTAAAGATACGGTCACAAAACATGTCATTAACGTATGTGTAGTACACGGACGTAGTACACGGACGTAGTACAACACTGGTAGTAAATGTACGTTGTACAACACGGGACAAGAGAAGAGCAGCTGGGAGAAAAAGGGCGGCAAGATAAGCGTTTGGTGTAAGATTAACAATTATTTATTATTAATTAGTGTATTTATTTATGTGTAACTAGCGAAGTTACTACATTGGCGACGAGGATAAAACTAACATGAATGCGGAACAGTTTAATTTGTTGTTGCAAGCTGTGCAAAAATCAAATAACGCTTTGCTTGAGGAGCTTCGTTTGTCGCGGACACTACAACAAATTGATACGCCTTCTTCAACTACAGAAGCAGTTTCGTCAACATTTAGGAATCTATCTGACTCAATGCTAGAGTTTTGCAATGATCCTGAAAATAAAGTCACATTTGAATCATGGTACAAGCGTTATAAATCAGTTTTCGCTATAGAAGCAGCACATCTCACTGAGCCAATTACGGTTCGATTGCTCACGAGCAAATTAAAAAATTTGGATTTCGAGCAATATGCAAACTCAATCTTACCAAAGGAACCCCATGAGCTTACACTCATGCAAACGGTTGCCAAACTCTCGTCTATTTTCGGATATCGCCAATCAAAATTTTCTCAGCGCCAAAAATGTTTTACAATTTCAAAACAGGATTATGAAGACTTTGCTCAGTATGCTGCTCGCGTCAACAAACATTGTGAAAAATTTGACATCGTTAATTGCACTCCCGATGAGTTTAAAGTACAAATATTTGTCAATGGCTTGAAGAGTTCACATGATTCGTTAATACTCGAGAAACTCCTTGCAAGACTCGACAATGAATCAACACAAAAACATCCACGCAAAAGGATGCCTTCATGCACTTAACACTTCAAGACCTCACTAATGAAGCTGAACGTATAATCTGTCTGAAGCAAGACAAATATACTGTCGTCCAGCCATCTTCAAGTTCAAAAGTTTTTGCAATTCACCATCGATATCAACGCAAAAATGAATCAATACTATAAAATTCTTCAACAAAAGACGAAACTTCGAAACCACCAACGCCATGTTGGTGTTGTGGAGGTCTTCATTGGTTTAAAGATTGCCCATTTAAAGGCAAAGAATGTTCAGCATGTAACACTATTGGCCACAAAAATGGTTACTGCAATAAGAAGCCAAGCAAGTTGCGACGCAGAAAATATCAGCCTGACACATCATGTGTAAAGAAAATTGACGAAACTAACAGAACGCAGCAGCATCGTAGGTATGTCAGACCAAATCTCAATGTATCTACAATTAAACTCCAACTTGATACCGGGTCGGACATAACAATTATTTCCAAATCGAACTGGACCAAACTTGGTCAGCCAATCCTACAAACTACTAATAAAAAAGCTGGCGATGCTTCTGGAAATGTAATTCCTCTTCTAAGCAGCTTTGCTTGTGTTGAGAACCTAAATGGAAGAGAGGAATATGTTGTGTGTTATGTCACACCACTTAAGTTGAACGTGTTTGGAATTGATTGGATAACGACATTTGACTTATGGTCAGTGCCTATCAGTTCCTTTTGCAAAGCAATCCAACTAACTAGTAGCGATAAATTAAACGATGAAATAAAGGCTAGATTTCCGTCTTTCTTTTCTAATGACCTTGGCTGCTGTATGAAGACCCAAGCGACTCTGAGGCTAAAAGAAGGAGCGCGACCTGTTTATCGTAACGCTCGACCAGGTCCATATGCAGCAGCTCCCATAGTTTCGGCAGAACTTGAACGTCTTCAATATCTTGGAGTAATTTCACCAATTGAATACTCACAGTCAGCGGCGCCAATCGTAGTTGTAAGAAAGAAGAATGGAAAAATTCGTATATGTGCCGATTATTCTACAGGTCTAAATGACGGTCTAGAGCCAAATAAATATCCTCTTCCAGCGCCTGACCAAACATTCTCCAAACTCGCTAATAAGAAAATCTTTAGCACAATTGACCTATCAGATGCATTTTTCTAGATTCCATTGGACCAAGAATCTCAAAAACTGATGGCTGTCAATATTCACCTCGGCTTATTTAAAGTACTTAGACTGCAGCAAGGTGTTAAAATAGCCCCTGGCATTTTTTAACAGATTGTTGACACAATGCTTAGCGGAACCAATACCATTGGGTTTATTGATGATATGATCTGTTCGGGAATTAATGAAGAAGACCACAAAATTCAACTGTTTAAAACCTTAAAGCGTATTCAGGATTATGGAGTCAAACTTTGGTCCGAGAAATGTAAGTTTGGAGAAACATCTGTCGAGTTCTGCTGACACACGGTAGATCAATATGGTATCAGACCACATCCTGGGAAACTTCGATCAATCCAAGGAAATCCATTAAAAGTATGAAAAGCCTTCGCGGTCCTTTAGATGAACTTTTAAAAAAAGATAAAAAGTTTGAGTGGAAACAACACCATAATGAAGCATTCAACAAGATTAAAAATGTATTAGCTTCTGATCTATGTCTCACGCACTTCGATCCAGCAAAGAAAATAATTTTAACTACTGATGCTTCAGAATACGGTATGGGTGCAGTTCTCATGCATCAATTTAATGACGGAACGCTTCACCCAATTATGCACTACTCAGCTACATTCAATGCAGCAGAGCGGAAGTATCCTCAAATGTACAAGGAGGCTCGAGCTCTCGTGTTTGGATTAAAAAAATGTCACTATTACATTTCTGGTCGTCGCTTTACCATTCATATCGACCACAAGCCACTTCTTGCTATATTCAACCCGAAAAATGGCATCCCGTTATTTACAGCGGCTCGCCTGCAACGTTATGCAACCACTATTCTGTCATACGACTTCTCTATTGAATACATAAATACTGACAGCTTTGGATATGCCGATATTATTTCTCGACTAATCGCAAACCATGTAAAACCTGATGAAGATACCGTCATAGCATATAATCAATTAGAAGAAGACGAGGACCTGAAAATCAATTGTTTTGTGGTAGAAACAGCCACCAAACTTCAAATCACTCTCACTAATATTCAAACAGCAACTAAAGCCTGCCATACTCTCACGTGCTACATATTTAAGAAATTAATTGTTATATTATTTATTGCTTATGCTGATGAAACACTTCCACTTCCGCCGTCACGTTCTACATCCAAAATTACTGCTGGCCTCAAAAGAAAAAACAAATCACAGATAATGAAGTAGCGGCATTTTTCCAGCATCGACATCATCTTACGATCCAACAACAGTGTATTTTCTTTGGTGAGAGAATTGTTATTCCCAAAATTTACCACCAGCAAGTCCTTGAAGATGTCCATAATGGACATCCAGCTGAGTGTCGTATGAAACTTCTTGCTGCTACCAAAGTTTTTTGGCCAAACATTAATCTTGATATCGAACATGTGGTCAAAACTTGTGACACATGCGCTACAGCCTTAAAAAGTCTAATGAAATGTACTCCTCAACAGTGGAAAATTCCTTCTGCACCATGGAACGAATTCATATTGATTACGCTGGTCCAATCCAATCGCTGGCAATTACTTCCTTGTTATCATAGACGTTTATAGCAAATGGCCAGAAATATTCAAAACTTCAATTACTACTGCAGCTGAAACTATTGAGTTCATTGAGAAAGCTTTTGCGCAACACGGCCTTTGCGACACGATTGTTAATGATAATGCTCCGCAATTCATCTCGCACGAATTCAAAAATTTTTGTGACTTCCAAGGAATTAATCACATATCTACAGTTCCATACAGTCCATAATCAAATGGCTAAGCAGAACGGTTCGTTGACCTACTCAAATCACGACTTAAAAAGGCAAAGGGAAGTATCGACAGGAAGCTCAACGAATTCCTCACTTGTTATCGATACACACCATCCTACAATCTCGGTATGAAATCACCA